TGGGAAAACTCATGGAGCTTCATGGTGAAGGTGGTAGTTCTGGAAAAGCTACTGGTGACGAGACTGGTGCTAAAGTCGAGCGAGCTGATGGATACGAACCACCAGTCCAAGAATCTGTTTAAAATCCAGAGTTTTAATAGTGACAAATAAAAGGCTTATTTGTGATGGTTTGCATCTCAGCACTTTTTAAGCCTGGCAAGTTGGTGAACCAGTCTGACTTGATAAGACCTGGTGAACTTTTAATCTTGTGTGGATTTTCTCGATTAAGTAGTTAAAATGGTATTGTGCTATTTAAGTTGTAGTGATCTGGAGTTTGTGTGTGCCAGCCAGTCTGGATGTTCTCTCTGAGCTCTTTTGCTCAAGGCTTGTGCCCTGCTAGCCACAGTTCCACTTAGGCTTTTGTCTCACGGACTTGCCTGTCCAAGCTAGCTTTGAATCACTGTCCTCAGATCTCACCTTCCTGAGCAGGCAGGGAATTGCAGGTGTGAGTCTCTGCCACATGCCTAGAGAGGATTTTTTTTTGGTTGTTTTGGTTCTAGTACTAGGGTCTTGGGCTCTTGCTTGACTTTTTGCTCAAGGCCAGAGTTCTTAACTTTCAAGCCATACCACTTGCTAACTAGGCTGGCTTTATGAACCTTGATCCATAGATCTCAGTCTCCTGAGTAGCTCTGTCAACCATGTAATGCAGTCAGTAGATAATTTAAATTTACTGTCAGACACTTGTTTTGAAGCTGAATTTAGAGAAAAGTGGTTATTGGTCTTAATATAGGCATCTGCTACCGAGTATATTTTCATCACTCAAATCCCAATAGTAGTAGCTCCCAAATGTGAATATAGTCACTAGCACCAGTGTGATTGGATTGGATCTAGTCTGGCTAGTGCAGTGCTTTTGTCATGTAAGTGGCCTCTGGTGTGACAGCAACAGAAACTTCACCCCCATCTATCCCCCAACATGGTGATGCTGCAAACCTGTTTAACAGTGAACCTTGAGCAAAAGTGGTTTCCCTTAAGGTAATGCTGAGCTATCTATTGATAGGAGTTTCCTTTTTGCCTATCTAAGGGCAATGACATCAAGTCCTAGTTTAGACAGGGATAGGTCTACAGTGAATACCCTTGGCTTCCTGAAAGACCTAGGGGGCTCCTAGGGCCTACCTGAAGTCTGGGGCCTTGGAGAGCATTGTGATTAGGAATTGTGCAGGAATTGGGTGGATGGGGTCTCAGTAATTGGAGTAGCCATCAGTGTCCCAAGCTCATGTCAATGTTCAGTCTTGGCCAACTGCAATCTGCCACAGCCTGGTGACCCTCCCGGGCCTTGACTAGTATTCCAACAGTACATCTCTGCTCTCTGAACCTGGTTTATATCCTTGTGAACAACCTTGAGGCTGCTGTAATGTTTCCTCCTTTTTTCTACTTGCTATGGAGACAGTAAATTTAACGTTAAGTGTTCTGTGAGACAACCTACTACATGACGGCCCTTTGTGTCATCTTGGATATTGGCATGAGAAGCTGATATGCACGATCATGAAACCCAGCTATTGAGCAACAGAAGTTCTTTTTGTTTTTTTTTTTTTTTTGGTCTGGTCGTGGGGCCTGAACTCTGGGCCTGAGCACTGACCCTCAGCGCTTCAGCTCAAGGCTAACGCTCTACCACTTGAGCCACAGCGCCACTTCCAGCTTTTTTTCTTTTTGCTTATGTGGTATCAGGGCCTCATGCTTGCAAGGCAAGCACTCTACCACTGAGCCACCTTCCCAGCCCCTAGAAGTTCTTTTTCTGATGCAAAAGTTTTACGTCTACTGGTAGCATCCACAAAACTGGCAGGCTGAGGTTTTAACTTGAAAGTTGGGTACAACATCAAGCATTACATCTGCCCTAATTCTCAGCATATGTCGTGTTGGTCAGCTTTCTGTCACTGACAAAGTACTGGGGGTAATTACCTTCCATGGAGGAAAGGTTTGTGTTGGCCTATGACTTCACTTAGCTGGTTACCTGTGGGATTGGGGTGGTGGCACAGTATATCACAGCAGGATTGTGTGTGAAGAGTGCACCTGGGGAAACAAGCAAAAAAGGGGCAGAGGCCAGAATCCCAATGTCCCTTGTGAAGGCCTTCTTTTCCCCATGACTTACTCCTAAAGTTCTATCACCTCCCAACAGTACCAGCATGAGGACTACTGCGATCTTCAAAACTTTTACAAAGAAACAATCAAAACTGGGCACCGGTAGCTCACGCCTGTAATCCTAGCTACTCAAGAGGCTGAGATCTGAAGATCACGGTTCAAAGCCAGCTCTGGCAGGAAACTGAGACTCCAATAAGCCACTAGAAAACCAGAAGCGTCACGTAGCTCAAGTGGTAGAGCGCTTGCCTTGAGCTGAAGAGCTGAGGGATAGTGCCCAAGCCCAGAGTTCAAGACCCATGACCGACAAAAAAAAAAATCAGAATCCTAGCACACCTACAAACAACTTTATTGTTAAGTATCTAATCACACCAGTTTAATGAGTGATTATCTGTTGAATGTTGGTATTCTTTGGATCTGAAATACAACCTGAAGCCCATGTACTAAGGCTTGGGCCCCTGCCTAATGGTTACTGAGAGATGGACTTTAGACCTACCTCAGCCCTTAGATTATAATTTCAGTTTCCCCTAAGCTGTCTTATACCATGGGCCTCCTAATATGCTTCCTGCACAGCTGGGATCATAGGCATGCACAACCGTTCTAGCCTTTCAACTGAGGTCTTGTAAACAGTTTTGGTTCAGGCTGAACTTGAACCTTGATTCTTCCAATTCAAGCTTCCAGAGAGTAGCTAGCATGACTGGTAGGATCCCACCATGTCCAGCTGAAATGGTAGAATCTTTAAGCAGTGGTACATAGTTAGAGGGAGTTAGGTCACTGGGCATTCCCTCGAGGGAGATACTGGCACCTGGGCCTCTTTGCCTCCCAGGTGCCATGAGGTGAAGTTTCTCCTCCCATGCATTCCCACCATGATGAGTACCTGGAACTAACAGGAACATATTGTCATGCCTGGCCTGTTCCCTTTAAGTGTAAAGAAAAAAAAAATACAGGTCAGTATTTTGTATGTTGCCTGCTGGTCACAGGTGTGATGGTACGTACCTGCACTAGCATGCACAAAGTGGAGGCAGGAGGATCACAAGTCTGAGGCAGGCCTTTAGTACCTAGAGGCCTGGTTAGGAAAACCAAAAAGATGATTCATCAATTTTTTTTGTTGTCATTGGTCATGGGTCCTGAACTTGGCCTGGGTGCTGTCCCAAGACTAGCACTCTACCACTTGAACCACAGCCCCAGTTCCAGCCTTTTCTGTTCATATGGTGCTGAGGAATACGAACCTAGGGCCTCATGCATGTGAGTCAAGGACTACCACTAAGCCACCCTTCCCAACCCCTTGTCATTTCTTGTTCAAAGTAAATAAACCAGTAGGTGGCATTACTTTCTGAACGGAATCATTGTCTCCTAAAAATACTGAATTGTTGCCCAATTTTTAACATTTAAATACAATATTACAGTTTCTTCAAAAACATCCAGAATTTGTCCCAGACTCATTGGTTTCAGATAGCTTGCTGGTTACCAAAAAGCTCAGCCTTTCTGACAAATTTTATAAGATGTGATATTCCAAGTATTTGGTTATTTCCCATTTAACAGCAATGGAAAAAAAGGAAACTGCATTAGCCATTCAGCTCACATTAGAGCTCTAGGAAACATCAACATAATTTATCTGTAGTCCAGGCTGGCCTTGAACTCACAATTCTTTTTAATTTAATTTTGTTTTATTTGTGAACATACTTTACAGAGGGGTTACAATTTGAACTCACAATTCTATCTCTATCTCCTGAGTACTGGGATTCCAGGTGTTCTGAGCAACTTTTTAACTTGAGAACTGTAAAAGATGCAACTTTTATAAGCCAGTAAGACTTACCAGAACCACAGGTGTAACTGTTGAAAAATGTACCATTTTAGCATAACAAGTGGACATAACATTGAATCGGACCTCAGTAGAGCCAAGTTTTACTTTGGATTCTGCTAGTACATACTAGACAAAAATCATTTAACCTCTGCAGGCTGAGTGAGCTCTGGTCTCCAATGGTATCACAGGAAGAGCCTGCAATTAAGGAAGAGGCCCCTAGATGGTGGTGGTGTTCTGAGACTGACCTTTTTTTTCCTTCCATAATTAAGTAAAAAGGCATAGGTTAGAAACTGACTTCCCATTAGTTCTAAAAAAGATTCACTATTCACAAATTCATTCAAAGGCATTCAGAACAGCACTGAATCATGAATCACATGGCCTATGTGCTTTTAGCATTAATTAAAAGGAATAAACCATTAATGATATCAAAGTGATGTTATATATCTATCACTATTTTCTCAGGTATACGTATCAAATATGCTTAAGAGAATAAAAACTAAACAATGACTGCTAAGAGTACTGATTATAAATCCATTAGAAAAAAAAATTTTTTTTGGTTGGTTGTGGGGCCTGAACTTGGCCTGGGCACTACCCCTCAACTCTAGCTCAAGGCTAGCACTACCACTTGAGCCACAGTGTCCACTTCTGGCTTTTTCTGCTTATGTGGTACTGAGGAATCGAACCCAGGGCCTCATGCATGCAAGGCAAGCACTCTACCACTGAGCCACCTTCCTAGCCCCTAGAAAAATATTTTAATGCCAGTTCTAAGAATACATTTTAATATACTGATTTTTTTCAGATTATCTCCAAACCTGTGATTTCCATAAATACAATGACAGATATATTGCTCCTCCAGCTATTTCAATAAAGGACATATTTAAGAGATATGCTGTCTTTTGGTGTTCAGAGGAAAATAAATGGCTTCTCCAGTTTCAACCTAACAAAAATGATTTTGTGATTTATGATTTGAGATTTAAATAATGTGGCTTAGATATGAAATGTCCCCAGAAGGCTCTTGTGTTGGAGGCTTGGTCCCCAGCAGGTGGTGCTATTGACAGGTAATTTGATCATGTAGATTAACTCATCAATTCACTGGTAGTTTTTAGCTGAATGGGCTAAGAGGGCTTGGGGCTTGCCTAGAAGAAGGCAGTGTTCTTAGCCACGTGCCCCCCCCCTTCCTTCCTTCCTCTCGCCCTCACTCCTTCCTTTTTACTTCCCTTGCCCCTCCCCCTTCCTCCCTCTTCTTCCTGGCTGCTATGAGGTGTGCAGCTCTACTCTGTCGCCCTGTCAGGATGTTCTGCCTTGTCTCAGTCAAAAGTGGTACAGCCAGCTGACCTGGGGCTGGATAACTTAGAACCATGAGCCAAAATAAATCTAACTGCTTAAAATGTCAAGTACTTATGTTTAAAGAAATTAAAAAGCTGACTGATAAAGATTAACACTATTGCTGGGAAGGTAGCTCAGTGGTAGAGTGCTTGCCTTGTATGCATGAGGCCCTGGGTTCGATTCCTCAGCACCACATAAGCAAAAAGAAAAAAGCTGGAAGTGGCGCTGTGGCTCAAGTGGTAGAGCTAGGCTAGCCTTGAGCTGAAGAGCTGAGGGACAGCGCCCAGGCCCAGAGTTCAGGCCCCACGACCGGACCCCCCAAAAAAAAAAACAAAGATTAAATAACACTATTATGTTTTCATCTTAAATTCATGGAAGAAACAACCATTCCTATTTCTTCCTCTAAGACAGTACACACAGAAACCTATTGGGGACATTTTGGGTTTCTTTTTTCTTCTTTTGGTTGGTTGTAGGTCTTGAACTCTGGGCCTGGGTGCTGTCCCTCAGCTCTTCAGCTAAGGCGAGGTCTCTACCACTTGAGCCACAGCACCACTTTCAGTTTTCTGATGGTTAATTGGAAATAAGAGTCTCACAGACTTTCCTGCCCAGGCTGGCTTTGAACCGTGATCCTCAGATCTCAGCCTCCTGAGTAGCTAGGATTACAGGCGTGAGCCACTGGCACCCAGCTAACATTTTTGCTTTCTATCAATTGAAGGGGAAATAGAAAGCAAAAAACAAAGTACGATAGACTGAAATGACAAAACTGTGAATTTTGTTACAATAGATTTTTTTCTTTTGGTCAACAAGGAAAGATTGAATGACTCGATTATATTGCTGTATGTAAAAGACATCACATCCATTCATCCATCCACACTTACATCTTATATGATGCAAAGAACTGGAGACAAAATATACCACACACATTCTCAAAAATTTAGTTTAGTCTGAGAAAGAGACTTGAAAAGCTCAGTTCAGTTTATTATAGTGTCAAGTAGATTTACAAGTATTGCACTTATTATTCTGCTTGCTGAAGGCCAACATTTAAGGGGGGATCTTTTTTCTCCAATAATTCTCCAATAAAGACAGGTTTTCAGAATCTCCAATTAAAATTACACAGGCAAAGATATAATTTATATATATATATATATATATATATATATATATATCTCATGTTGCTTCTATATCCTTAACCACTTCCTGCTATGATACACCTTGCTGCAAATGAGAATTTAGTTTGAATAATGCTTTTAATCATTCCTTTTTATGAGATTATTTTTTAATGAAATTTGAAAAGTTTAATGTAATGTGAAATTTTTAATACTTTCTTTTCACTCAAAACACATAGAAATGCAGCCCTCATACTCCAAAATCAAATGTCACATGTTATTGGGGAGATGAACTTTAGTCAGAGACTAAGTCAACATCGCTTCCTTTTGGATCATCATGATGTGTTCTGATAATGGTGTGATCACTGGCCGCCATGCTTTTTGGAAAATGGGGAAAGGAACAGAAACTAAAAAGTGGTCTAGCAGTTTGGTGCAGGTGGCTCACGCCTGAAATCCTAGCTATTTAGGAGACTGTGATCTGAGGATTACAGTTCCAAGCCAGCTGGGCAGGAAAATCTGTGAGACTCTTATCTTCAATTGAAACACCACAAAAAGCTGGAAATGGAGCAGTGGTTCAAGTGGTAGAATACTAGCCTGAACATAAAAGCTCAGGGACAGTGCTCAGGCCCTGAGTTCAAACCCCAGGACCTGTAAAAAAAAGAAAAGGAAAAAGTGGTCCAGCATACGAAACTCTTCTCAAAAACAGAAGAAAGTCACAAAGAAAGCTTTTTACATTTCCAATGTAATCCTATCCCATTGCTCTGTTAGCAAGATTGTCTTCAACCTATTGGCTTTAGCCCCTAACTTGTAATCCAGTTATGCAATGAACCACTTTTGTCTTAAACTTGGGATGTATCACAACGGATGACAGGAAAGTGGCCTTTTCTTTTCTCTAATAATTGTGCAGAGACAAGCTGGGGAGAAAAAAGTACCAGCCTTTAGTTGTCTTAGTTATTTTTCTTTCTGATTACATTTTGAATAAACGAGCTGTGGGAGTTGTCATTGTTCTTCATCTTAACAGTAGCTCTGTATTCTAAGATACTATATGTGATTCATATTTGTTCCACTACAACAAGACACAGCTTTTTATAGATTACTGGGAGAATGCAAAGAAAATGAGTTTTCCTTTGGGTACCAGTAATTGTCAAAGGAATGATTGCAGATTCAGAAAATGTGCTTTATAATAACCCTGTTAACATAAAGAATATATGGAAGACAGAAGTAGTCTGGCACACAGGTGAGGGTTAGTTGTGTTAGCAAGGCATTTCAAGGATGATTTTGGTTCTTTTGACTAAGATGACAACACATTTTGACACCCTTCAAATCCTTGGACAAATAGGGAATATCTGGCGAGTCTGCTGACGTCACCATGTATTTACCAGTGCTCCTGTTCAGTACTGAACTATCCCTTCTGAAGTAAGCGTTTGCCCTCGTACTAAAGGCTAATGTGCTCAAGCGATTAGGATTAATTTGAACAACAGAAATGAAATTTAGATTACTAACCATGTCCCGATAGTTACAGCGTGTAGAATGTCAAATGTCCTCTTTTTAAACTAAAGTGAAAAATGAAGAAGCATGGTTAATTCACATGTGCTGATGAAAACAGATGTCCGTGTACAACTTCTGCTCAGCCTCCCTTTGTGCCGGTTGCCCTGCGCTTGCCCAGGGGAGGCTGCCTCTGCCCTGCTAACCCCATTAGAGGTTTTCTTTCTACATTCCTCCTGCATGGTTTCCACGTACACATTTCCACTGGGAACGAAAGCTAACTACAAAGTTGAGAACTTTTCTGCTTCCAGAAAATTCTCCTGTACCATGGACACCTTAAGATATTTCTCTTTTCTGTTTAAAAAAAAAAAAAAAAAGATAGTGCAAAAACAAATCTGATAGTCAGCGTGATAGTTCAAGTGGGTTCTCACGTCCAGGAATAGCCAAGCTTCTTATCTTTAGCCGACGTGTAGGAACTGAATGTAGTTTTTGGGAAATATCCCAGATTTCCCCAGCAGTTCTCCACTCATCCACTCCTCATTCACAGACTCTAACCCCGTAATGATATCTCCAGCCTGTGAGAAGAAAGACATTGGTTGATTTCTGTTGAGTGCAAGCGTGGTGTGCAGCCTGCCCAGAGCGGCATAAACTATCTTCTCTTTATAACACTCATGCATCTGAATTTGCAGAGGAGGAGATGAGACACTTCCTGCTGCTTCATACCTCTGTCCTTGCACTCTGTTGCTTTGTGGGATGTAACTTGTCCTGGTTATATGTTATACCTCCCTAGTTCACCACCACCCCTATAAAGATTCTGTTAAATAAATAACAATATGTGAGACTAAAAATAAAAGCCCAGTGGCAATGGCTCAGACCTATAATCCTAGCTACCCTACTTGGGAGGCTGAGAACTGAAGATCACAGTTTGAAGTCAGCTGGGACAGAAAGACATCAAGAGTCCATCTCCAATTAGCAAAAAAGCCAGACCCGAGTGGCATGACTCAAGTGGTAAGTGCCAGTCATGACTGAAAAAGCTGAGCAAGGGTTTGAGGCCTTGGGTTCAAGACCTCACACTAGTACTTACATGTGCACACGTATACGTGTTCACACATGTACATGCACATGCACACTTCCCTTTAATGTGCATGGAATTAAAGCAATGTAGGAATTAAACAATTTCACAGTCCTTACAGATAGATACTGTTATTAATGACAGTATTTAGAGGGTATCTTTCTGTAAGTTTGTTCATTTTAAAGAACAGGAAACAGGTTGGATTTGGTGGCTCATGCCTGTAATCCCAGTGCTAGGTGGCATTGGTGGTCTGAAACTCACCCTAGTGAAACATATGAGACTCTACCTGAAAAATAAATAAACAAGGCTTGGGAGCATTGCTCAAGTGGTAGAGGACCTGCCCACCAAGCACAAGGCCCTAAGTTTAACTCCTCAGTAACACCAAAACAGGAAACTGAAGTTCAGGTAGATTAGGAAACTTTGCCCCAGTTATATGTGTAATCAGTAGTAAAACCGGGATTAAAATCTAATTCGATGCTGGTGCTTACATTCCTGACCACTCCACTCTCTTAGACCTAGGCTTTGCATCTCTTCATTCAACTCGAACTCTCAAACATTCTACACTTCAATGTAAGACAAAGTCTTGTCAATCTCAATGTGTATGTTTTTAGTGCTTAGGGCAGGAACAGAAAGACACTGACCTTGAAGGAGAGCTCATCTTCATTCTCTCCATGGAAGTCATACAAGGCTTTGGCCTTCCTCCCCTTCAGTCCTGTGGTACACATGGTTTTTGCCTCAGCTGTAAAGACACACAAAACCCAAATATACAGAAAGATCATGGCCTAAAACACAAAACGTTCTAAGATCTACCCTGGTCACTCTCAAAACAGTGAAAGATAAAAGATGTTCTCAGCACTTATATATATATATATACACATATGCATATATATATATATACACATATGCATATATATATATATACACACACATATATATTACACACACACACACACACACACAAATCAGGTGCTAGTGGCTTATACCTCTAATCCTAGCTACTCAGGAGACTGAGATCTAAGGATTGCAGCTTGAAGCCAGCCTGGGCAGGAAAGTCCATGAGACTCTTATGTCCAATTAACCAACCAAAAAAACCAGAAGTGGAGCTGTAGTTCAAGTGGTAGAGCACTAGCCTTGAGCACAAAAGCTCAGGGACTGCATCCAGGCCCTGAGTTTAAGCCTCAAGACCAGCATACAAACACACACAAAAAATTAAACTAACCAGTACACAAACACACACACAAAATTAAACTTTAACCAGCACACATACACACACAAAATTAAACTTAAAAAATATATCTACACACAAAGTATATTTAATAGAGAAAATTAGCCATTATTTAGTGAAAGCATTTTCAATCCTTTTCCCCATAACTATCACAAATTAGTGTATGAATTTATGAATTAACTCTTTCCACTGTAGACAAATAGCTTCAGTGAGGCATGCCCAGACGGATTACAAGGGCTCAAAGCAGGTGGCATCTCAGAGTTGTCATACCTACACAGCGCTGCACAAAGACTGCTGGGAAGATTCCCTCCCTGTCGTGCAGCCGGCCCCGGTACCAGTCAGCATCCAGACGCTCCAGGATCAGAATCCGGTCCCCACGTTGGAAGGCTAAGTCATCACTGGTCTCAGCGGTAAAACTGTGGAGAGCTTTGCACCATTCTTCAGAGAGATTGTTATCCTGTAAGAAATGGGAAGTGTTTGTTTTTTTTTCCTTGGTGGAGGACTTGAACTCAGAGCCTGGGCATCATCCCTTAGCTTTTTTTTTTTTTCCTGTCAGTCGTGGGGCCTGAACTCTGGGCTTGGGTGCTGTCACCCTCAGCTCTCCAACTCAAGGCTAGCACTCTACAACTAGAGCCATAGCGCCACTTGAAGCTTTTTCTGCTGTGGTGCTGAGGAATCGAACCCAGGGCCTCATGCATGCAAGGCAAGCACTCTACCACTGGGCCACCTTCCCAGCCCCATTTGAGCTTTTTTGCTCAAATTAATGCTGTACCACTTGAGCCACAACTCTACTTCTCTGTTTTAGTGGTTATTTAGAGATAAGAGTCTCACAGATTTTCCTGCCTGGGCTGGCTTCAAATCACGATCCTCAGATCTGAGTTTCCAGAGTATCTAGGATTACAGGTATTAAGCTACCGGTGCCCATCAGAATTGGGAGGTTTTTAAAATGTCAAACTGAGTTCTACAAAGCTTAAAAAAAAAAAAACCAATGAAGAATAAAAGCTAAAGGGTTATAGGATTTCAAAAGCTTGAAGTCTTCTTTAAATTAGCTAATACTTTATGTTGCTATCAAGTTTCAGAAAGAGTTTCCAATAACTTCTTTTCTTAAAATGTAATCTTAAATGACAAATGTGATAGAATTTGTGGCTTTTATAAAATACATAACACTTAAGCAAAACACATTTCTTTATTGTGATCTATGAGGTTAATTACATTAAAAATTAGGTCAAGGCATAAAATATTTATGTATAGTATAAACGATGAAAGAAGTCTGATAAAGTAGCTAATTTTCAGTGAAGTTTTTCTTTACCTAAATCAGGATCAGAATGGATAGCCTGTTAAGTTTCTGGGTCTTTACTTGGCTTAGAGACTATCAGATTCCAGTGTAGAGGGCACTCACTCATACTAAATCAAAGAAACAAACAAAAACAATATATATTTAACTTTATGAGAGTACACTCCTCCTATAGAACTTTTGTCTGTGTATGTGTGTGTGTGCACACTCGTGTACATGCACTGGTGCTTAAACTCACTCACTGGTGCTTTTTCACTCAAGGCTGGAACTCTAGCACTTAAGCCATAGCTCTACTTTCAGCTTCTTCCTGGTTAACTGGAGATAGGAGCCACAAGGACTTTTCTGCCTGGGCTGACTTTGAACTGTGATCCTCAGCTCTCAGTCTCCTGAGTAATTACGATTATAGGTGTAAGCCACTGGAACCCAATTTAACAGGAATGTAATACACACACACACACACACACACACACACACACATACTCACACTCACACTTTTTTTTCTTGCCGGTTCTGGGGCTTGAACTCAGGGTCTGCGCTCTGTCTCTGGGCTTCTCTGTGCTCAAGGCTACTGCTCTACCACTTGAGCCAGGGTGCCACTTCTGGCTTTTTCTGTGTATGTGGTACTGAGGAGTCAAACCCAGGGCTTCATGCATGCTAGGCAAGCACTCTACCACTAAGCCACATTCCCAGCCCCTTCATTTTTTTTTTAACCCCCAAAACATTAGCAGAAGTTTCTGCTCTCTAAAGAAGCATCTTGCCACGTTTGGACAAGACTAAGCAAAGCGGGGCTCCAGGCCCAGCTCTGCTACTTCTGAGCCACATGACACGGATTCTTCATCTCAGCTTCATCTAAGGATAGCTGTAAAGATTCAATAGATAATGCACCAAGAAAGAGACTTCCACACTGCCTGTCAGACCCTAAGTTCTCTGTAATTGATGGTTTATGGAACAAAACAAAAACTAAGCAAATCCTGACTTCTTGCTTGTATACTTGAGTGACCAGCCCTGGGGCAGGGAGGTCCCAAGAACTCATTACTCTGTGCATGCCAGAGGCTCTGCAAACATCCCCCTTTTGAATAGTGATAATCAGGTTTTCTCCTATTTGACTGCAGCTGAGTAAAAAAAAAAAAAATGAAAAAAATAAAAAATTATTATTTTTGTCAGTTGTGACTTGAACTCTGGGCCTGGGCGCCGTCCCTCAGCTCTTCAGCTCAAGGCTAGCCCTCTACTCCTTGAACCACACACAGCACCACTTCTGGTTTTCTGATGGTTAATTGGAGATAAGAGTCTCACGGACTTTCCTGCCCAGGCTGGCTTTGAACTGTGATCCTCAGATCTCAGCCTCCTGAGTAGCTAAGATTATGTGTGAGGCACCCGCGCCCAGCAGAGTAAAAATTTTAACCTTATTTTTTCTCTTTCGCATATATAAATAAGTCAAATGATCCTAGACATTTAGAAAGTTTTGAACTATATAAAGAACTTGGGGAAGGGAATCCTACCCACATATGAAACCTTGAATCTGTAGGATTTTTAATGTTAATAATTTGAATAATTATTTTGTAGTTATTTGTTTATTGGTTTACTTCATTTTCTTATATTTAAAAAAAGTTTTATCTTTTCTCCCCTGCAATTTTTTAATGCAATCTATGTATATTCAACTTTGTATCCTCATTTTCTGTTTTCTTTTCATGATGTTCATTTTGTAAACCAGCCCTAAAACAGGGTCTTGTTATGAAGCCTGGGCTGGCTTCAAACTCCCAATCCTCCTTCCTTAGCTCCCTGAGTGCTTAGATTACAGGTGTACACTACTGTACTCCTATGGGCTCCTTCTTCATTCTTCCTTTTATTCTTTTAAGGAACTTGTTGTTGGAGGAGGTGGGAGAGGGAAGGGATAGCAGCAGAAAAACAAGGAGGGGGCAACAATGTTCAACAAGAAATGTACTCATTATCTCACTCGTGTAACTGTATCCCCTCTGTACAGCATCTTTACAATAAGATACAATAAGATAAAATTAAAAAAAAAGAGAAACATGTTTCCCAGGTGGGGCACAGTGGCTTCTGGCTTAAGTAATCCTCTTGCTTCAGCATCTTGAGTAGCTGGCATTACAGGCATGTGCCATTGTGCCCCTTTTCTGTATTTTTTTTCATTTCCTTTTCAGGATCTACATGTTTTGTATGAGTTCCAAGCACAGTTTTTCAGTAATACCTAATTTACGTATTGCAGACACGTGCTGTGAAATGAGATGAAAATGACTAAGTACTATGTTGTCTTGATAATTATAATTTCGACATTCTCTCAAGGTTGAAATCTGGCTGTCCCTACCATTACCCACTCAGGCAGCCTACCTGAGAATTTGAGCCAGAAGCTTCTTTTTTGGTCTTCGGTGGTACCTTTGTGCCTACATTAAGATAAAAGAAAAAAGTCAAAATGTAAAAGCTACAGAGTGAGGGAAACGGTTACGATTGGGGTGCGTGAAAAGTCTGTGATTCTGCCACACGAAGTTCTGCTTCATGGGTTGTTCACTTACCTATAAGCTGAAGAAGCATACCCAAGAAACTCTACAGTCCACGTCTTCAGCCTCGCTGCCATTTCGCTTTCTTTCGGTGATGCTAGGCTTTGAACTCAGGGCCCTGACCTTGCTAGGCAGGCACTCTCACCACTTCAGTCACACCTCTAGCCCTTTTGCCTTTTCTTTTTTTTCCTTTTTTGTCGGGCATGGGGCTTGAACTCTGGGCCTGGGCGCTGTCCCTCAGCTCTTCAGCTCAAGGCGAGCGCTCTACCACTTGAGCTACAGCGCCACTTCTAGTTTTCTGAGTGGTTTATTGAAGAGTCTCAGGGCCTTTCAGGCTGGGCTGGCTTTGAACTGTGATCCTCAGATCTCAGCCTCCTGAGTAGCTAGGATTACAGGGATGAGCCACCACGCCTGGCTCACCACAGTGACTCTCCCATGCAAATTAACATTTAAAATAAAATTTCCTTCTACCTTAAAAAAAATTTATGGCAATGTGGGTGGGAGAGGGGCTGAGGGAGGGACAGAGAGGTGAGCTTGCTCAAGGCCCTTTGGTTTTATGCATTTATGGACATAACATGAAACCTGCTGGTTACAACTAACTGATGTGAACAAAATATGGGGAAAAAGCCTGCAACCCATCAATTATGTACATTTTTCTAATATCAATAACATAAAAGTCAAAATTCTGAGGTGAGCACCAGTGGCTCACACCTGTAATCCTAGCTACTCAGGAGGCTGAGATCTGAGGATCACGGTTCAAAGCCTGGGCAGGAAAGTTCGTGAGACTCTCGTCTCCAATTAACCACCAGAAAACTGGAAGTGACACTGTGGCTCGAGTGCTAGAGTGCTAGTCTTAAGCCGAAGAGCTGAGGAACAGCGCCTAGGGTTCAAGACCCACGACCAAGACACACACACACACACACACACAGAGTTAAAAACTTGTGACTGGGTTCTGGGGACACACACACACACACACACACACACACACACACTTAAAAACTTGTGACTGGGTTCTGGGGCTCCTGTCTATAATCCTAAAACTTGTGACTGGGTTCTGGGGACACACACAGACACACACACACACTTAAAAACTTGTGACTGGGTTCTGGGGCTCCTGTCTATAATCCTAGCTACTCAGGAGGCTGAGATCTGAGGATCATGGTTCAAAGAGAGCAGGGGCAGACAAATAAGACAAATGTATCTCAATGACATAAAATGTATCTCAAATTAACCAGTAAGAAGTTGGAAAAGTGGAAGTGCGGCTCAAGCAGCAGAGCTCCGGCTATGAACAAAAAAACCAAGAGAAAACTTGAGGCCTGGACCTTAAATCATAGTACCAACATACATACATGCACACATGCATGCACACACAAAAGAGGTGGCAGAGAAGGAAAAAAAAAGGAAGAGGAGGAAAAATATGTGTGGATTGTTATACAGATTAGTATTTCCAGACTGTTGGTTTATCTGAATCAGAATACATATAATAATAGAAAGTCATCTTGTCTATACTCACTTGAAATATTTGTACCAGGGGCAGGAAAATCCTCAAGGAGTTCCACAAAGTTCAGGGGGAAGATCCCAGTTCTGTCTCCAACCTCTCCTTTAGCCCATTCATCATTCACATACTCCTTAAGAATGATAACTTCTCCCTCTGAGAAACTTAACTCATCCTTCTGATCTCCAATATATTCAAACCGAGCAACACATCTTGGGCCTCTGAACAACAAACACATTAGTGGATTAAAGTAGAAACTAATGACCTTTTTTTTTTTTTTGTCGGTCGTGGGGCTTGAACTCTGGGCCTGGGCGCTGTCCCTCAGCTCTTCAGCTCAAGGCGAGCGCTCTACCACTTGAGCTA